TCTCTCTGCTCTCTCTCTCTCTCTCTCTCTCTCTCTCTCTCTGGGTGTTTGCTTATATGTTGTGTGTGTGCGTGCGTGTGTGTGTGCGCGTGTGTGTGTGTGTGTGTGTGTGTGTTCCATCTTCTTGATATCCTCGTTTAGCACGTGCCTGATATATTTCCTTCTGTTCTTTTTTGTTTTTCTTCCTTTAAATGACTGTTAATGTGTTATGCTTCTGTCTTTTACCACTTCTTCTCTCAGTCTTCACAGTTATGGTGTCGATATCCATTACTTTGCTCAAAGATTAATTATCGTTCCTTCCTCGTTGCCTCCCTCAGAGTACCGGAGCACGCTCATCTCCCGCCTGGCCGAGATCCGCTCTGCAGCCTCGGGGCCCGACTGGTACACGTACGTGCACACCTTCAACTACACGGAGCTCAAGTACGCCTTCCGCTTCACCTGCGACAGCAACTATTTTGGCGCCAAGTGCGCCGACCTGTGCCGGGCGAGGGACGACAAGTTTGGTCACTACTCGTGCGCGGAGAACGGCACCAAGGTCTGTCTGGACGGCTGGGACGGCGAGTATTGCGACACTGGTGAGTACAATGAGTGTGAGTGTCGGTGTGAGCGTCAGTGTGCGTGAGTAACAGAGTGGGTAGGTACAGTGAGTGATATTAGAGAGTTGTGGGTGTGAGAAATTGGTGATTCTGAGAGGCAATGAATGAGTAAGAGAGTTGATGAATGTGGATCAGAAAATGAGTTTTTCTATCATTGTATGAATCAATGAATGAGGTGAGGTTTGTCGTTACACACCCGGAAAGAAAGGTAGCTCAAACGCATGACTTCAAATTGGTCAGATGAGGGACACACTTATATTATACTCGGTATTATGTACTTCGGCGTCTGGGAGAGAGCCGGAAGTGCTGTGGCACCAATCGGACATTCTTTGCCCTGAGAAGCCTGAAGCACCAGAACTTCCGGGCGCCAACCCGAGGTTTTGGTTTCGCAGGAACAAACTTCCGGAATGTTTGTCCTTGGTGCACTCAAGTGTGCGCCCTAAACTTTTCTCTCACTCTAACTGTGGTTTCATTGTTATTGCTATGATTTCCCGCAGTCACTCTCTATTCTTTGCTGTATTTTGGGACTTGAATGTCGCCTTCACGCACACATGACTAGGAAAACAAAACAGGAAGCTGTTTTAAAACCAAAACAGATTTGCGATACAATATCCAATGTATAAAAGTACAGAGATGCACGGCATATCACCGCCCTAAATGCTTTTTGTCTAACCGCGAGGCAAGTGGTTTTGAATTGGACGCGCTTCACGGTAATGGTGTTTTATAATCGCAAGTGTTTTCTCGTTATCGATGCGATGAGCAAAAACGAGCTTGATAATTTTAATGAAACCGCATAAAACAGCTTCCTTTGTACCGACGTTTTTGTTTCTGTGATATGCAGTTTGATATGGGGAAGGGAGATGTGGTTATAATAGCAGGAGACTACTTCCAGCTTTTATCGGTAATGTGTACTGGTTTTTAGTTTTAGTGGTGAATAAAAAGAAGGAGGAGGGGGGGGGGGGGCAGGTAGGGGTGGTGAGAGATATGTTTTGTCTACCTGCCGAGCTTCTTGTCTCAGGCTGCAGCCGCAGAATGATGTACACTTGCGTATTCTGGATCTATGTTATAGTGATGGTTGCTTGCGGTAAAAGTCGCAAGAGCTCGCAAAGAGTCGAACGGACTTCAAAGGCCTTCCTGTTGCACTTTTACTTTTTCTTTGGTGTGACCTTTATAGTACATGTATGTTCTACAAGCACTGGCAACGCCGAAGGAAAAAAAGCGCTAAAAAGGAAAAGAAAATAATACATAAACAAGAAGGGGGATGAAAGGGAAAAGAAATATACTCTCAAGTATTGCTCTCCTTTTCTTTAGCTGTGTTCTCCGTCTACCATTTCTTGTTTCTTTTGAAAAACAAGTAAGAGGAGGGGGGGGGGGAGTGGTACATGGTATCAGAAGCATCATGATGTAGAGAAGAGATTGTGGAGAGCTGAGGTGGCTGTCAATGAAAACCAAGGGAGATAATAAATATGAAACAGTTGCGAGGTGGTCGTGACTTTAGCACAGATAGGAGGCCAAAGCCCGCTAGAGGGAATAATGATGAGCCATAAGATCTAATGAGGCGAGGTGAGTCGGCGGTACGGCGAGGTGAGGAACGGGGTTTGGGCAGAGGGGGGCATAGGGAGGGAGATTCCTTTAGGCACTAGAGAGTCTTTCTCTCTGTTTGATGTCTGTTTGGCTAACTTTGAATCTATTACGCTCCAGCTGTCTTCTTCTGTCTATCCGTCTGTTTGTCTATCTTTTGTTTCTTTGTTATATATATATTTGTTCCACCATGTCTCTCTCTTACTCTCTCTCTCTCTCTCTCTCTCTCTCTCTCTCTCTCTCTCTCATCTAAGCCGCCTGATCAGCGCCAGGGGTGGTAATAAATTTCATCTGGTCATTAGAAGGGCAGCTGGTGTTGATCCTCACATCTTCATCATCTTTATCTCACACGGATTGCGTCAAGACAGAGGCGATGCCT